AAACTAGAAGTGTTAAAAAAGAGTTATGCGTATGAAGTTTGGTATACAAAACTGTCTACCTGTAGGAGAGCATGTGCGTTTGGATAAGCTGCACCAGACAGTTCCGGGGGTAAAATGATGGTTCGGCTTTGCATCGTCCCAGAAGTTCAGTTACTATGTCCCCAACAAGAGTATGAAAGTCAGGTGTCTGCTTAATAGCCAAAAATTTACGGAGTTCTACTTCAATGTGTTTTTCTGTATCATTCTGAAAGGACAGAATTAAGAGTTCAGGCTGGGACATTAATAAATGTCACTGAAATAAAAACTCCTAGCTCAACACATGTCTAATTACTAAGAGAATTTTACGCATTCTTGTGAAACCAGAGTGGATATGGTATTTTGCTTCACTGAAACAAACAGGAAAGACAAAAATAAATAAATAAATAAATAAAAAATAAATCAAGGGGTTATAAATCAAAATCTTGAAGAGACTAAATTACAGACATGTTTAATGCACAGTTGAATGAGATATCAGTGAGGCTGCCACCATCATCCTGACCTCCCAAGACTGTAGTGAGAGTTGAATAAGACAAAATAACGGACCACCTCTGACAACAACAGGGTGCTAGACAAATGTTAGCTTAAGTACAAAAGCGACCCTACAAATAAGATATAACAACAAGCAGATGGAGTCTCTTTTAACCTCTTGGGTTGTTCTTCCATGTATCTAGTATTTTTCACTTACCTTTACGGTCAGTAAAAGTTGTTTGGATGCTGACATTGCTGGCTGTAAGCTCACTTCAACTTTTCTCGCCCTTAACTGAAATGAAGTAAATTGATTAGGATCTCAAAACAATACTAAAGATGGATTACACATTTAGAAGAATATGAAACACCCCAGAGACAAGCGTACTTTTGCTCTAATCACAAACTGTTTTCAACAGAATAATTTTTTTCATAGTGAAGAGTGAGCTTATTTCAACTTTCAAATTAAATACCTTAATTTTTAAAAAATTTTATACTGTAATTTGGGTGAAGGTTAATACTTTAAAAGTGTTATGGTTTTTTATTTTTAAGCACAAATTAAAAGCTCGACACTCAAAAAATATCATTGCTCACTGTATATTGGTTCATTTTCACACATAGGCCCTAACAAACATATAGCCCTGATAAAAACTAACTATAAGCCTATGCGTGTCATTTCTAGATAAAGGTGGTGAGATCACTAGATTTAGGCTTCAAATTCTCCAATCATCAAGATAAAAGCTTGAAGAGTTTTACAAATATGAATCATTAAAATAACTCAGCATTTTTCTGTTGTCAACATTGGCACTAACACTTTTACTCTGACATTTAAACTTACACTTTTCCTCGACTGCTCTGAGCTCTGTGGTCCAAGTCCACACTCCTGAGATGTTTCCCAGTTTACGAAATGGGGCACAGCATGAGCGCCTAAGAAAACACAAAATGCACCATTTCTGGAATTTTTTGGCTTATTGAACAATACGAAGCAGCCACTCATGCACAGTTCAGGGGAGGCTTTAAAGTCCATGTAATTTTACTGATAACCTGAGAGTAGTAAATCCTAATACAGTAGAAGGCCCACACTGAGCAACATTAAGCCAAGAGACTAGACTGTCAGTGAACCAGGGAAGGTGGAGGCATTACTGATCTTGCCTGGGGGGCTCTCTCATTGCCCCTGAAGCCAGAAGAACACTGGCTGTTCAGATCACAGCGGGTCCTCAGTATGCAGCTTTACTAGCAACACAGACTGTTCCCAAGACAGCTGCCTGGATCAAGACGTTTCCATGAACAGTGGCAAATTTCAAAATTAAAACAGGCTCTG